ACTGGACAATGGGGCGGACAATATCACAAAAGTTCAATACGGCCTTTCTTCAGGATACTAACAAACTCAACAAATTCAAGATAGTCCTCGGCAACAAGTTCCAGGCCCTTCATGATCTACTCAATAGAGAAGGAACTACTGTGGAGAGCAACTGGAAGGGGATCAAAGAGGAAATCACTTCAACATGTCATGAGGTCCTGGGTTACAAGAAACACCATCACATGAAGCACCATCACAAGGAATGGATCACTGTTGATACACTGGATAAGATTCAAGAAAGGAGGAACAAGGCAGCAATCAATACCAGTCGAACAAGAGCAGAAAAAGCCAAGGCACAAGCTGAATACACAGAAGTAAACAAGCAAGTGAAGAGAGGCATCAGAACCGACAAACGCAAATATGTGGAAGATTTAGCAACGGCGGCGGAAAAGGCTGCAAGAAAAGGAAACATGAGAGAACTGTATGACACGACAAAGAACAATCAATTGAATGGAATTCATCACTCTACATCAACTTCATTGACTAAGAAAAAGCATTTGATAGTGTGGAAAGAACAACACTATGGAAACTTCTTCGACACTACGCCCAGCCTCGGAAGATAGTCAATATCATACGGAATTCCTATGATGGATTAAACTGCAAAGTCGTGCACGGAGGACAGTTGACAAGCTTGTTCGAAGTAAAGACCGGTGTTAGGCAAGGTTGCTTACTCTCACCCTTCCTCTTTCTCCTGGTGATCGACTGGATCATGAAGACGTCAACATCTGAAGGAAAGCACGGGATACAATGGACATCTAGGATGCAGTTGGACGATCTAGACTTCTCAGATGATCTGGCCCTTCTATCGCAAACGCAACAACAAATGCAGGTGAAGACGAACAGTGTGGCAGCAGCCTCAGCAGCAGTAGGTCTCAATATACACAAAGGGAAAAGCAGGATTCTCCGATACAACACAGCATGCACCAATCCAATCACAGTTGACGGAGGAGATTTGGAAGATGTAAAAACCTTTACATATCTGGGCAGCATCATTGATGAACAGGGTGGATCTGATGCAGATGTGAAGGCGCGGATCGACAAAGCAAGAGCAGCATATTTACAACTAAGGAACATCTGGAACTCAAAACAACTGTCAACCAACACCAAGGTCAGGATTTTCAATACAAATGTCAAGACAGTTCTACTGCATGGGGCAGAAACCTGGAGAACTACGAAAGCCATCATCCAGAAAATACAGGTGTTTATTAACAGTTGTCTACGCAAAGTACTTCGGATCCGTTGGCCGGAAACTATTAGCAACAACCTACTGTGGGAGAGAACAAACCAGATCCCAGTGGAGGAAGAAATCAGGAAGAAGCGCTGGAAGTGGATAGGACACACATTGAGGAAAGCACCCAACTGCGTCACAAGACAAGCCCTCACATGGAATCCTCAAGGCCAAAGGAGGAGGAGAGGAAGACCAAAGAACACATTACGCCGAGAAATGGAAATAGACATGCGAAAAATGAACGAGAATTGGATGGAACTAGAAGGGAAGGCCCAGGATAGAGTAGGTTGGAGAATGCTGGTCGGTGGCCTATGCTCCATTGGGAGTAACAGACGTAAGTAAGTCAGTAAGCTTGTAAGAAATATGTATGCTTAAACATTGCTCACCGCCAACGCATATATTCATTCTGCTAGCTTTATTATTAGCTGCTTAATTGATTCAATGATCCATTCATTTCCATATATAATTATGCATGTACATTTAAAACTCTACACTCTCGGTTCGCTGACTCACTCATTCGCCTCACTGCTTTGTGGTTTGAGTTATCTGGTAATAAAACTGTAGTCGCTGCTTCTCTTTGCCTTCTGAGTTCAAACACCGTTGAGGATTATATGATAACGGTTACGAGGGTGATTGGTTAACGAAGCACAACCACTACAGTCTCCTAACTCGTAAAGGTTTATTTCCCAATCGTTGATAATCAGGATTGAATTTGTTTTAGTCACTGTTGGCAACATATTTACCATGATTTTATGGCCGTCAAATGCCCTGGTACGGCTGAGGGTGGGGAGAGTCAGCTCTCCCTCTCGAAATGCTCTCACATGGCCGCGCGTATACAGCCAATGCCAGGGAAGTCCTACTTACTGCCTTCTTGAGGTGGTGTTGTTTCCGGAATTGAGAGAACGATAAGCGAATGTTCGGCGCTTTAACCGGGTCGGTGGACAGGGAGACTCCACCTAGGGGAGTTGGAAAACTCGGATTCCAAACTAATAGTGCACATGTGCTCCAGGACCCTAAAGGAACGAATGGTGCATGAACCAATTGTTGGTGACCGGTTACCATGGGACTTCATCTCCTGATGTTGATCCACTGCCTTGTGGATTAGACCTTCAGGTCAAAGACTTGGGGATTGACCTCCCAAGAAAACCTCCTGCTTTGATTTCGGAACCTGGGTCGTATCACAACCCACACACAAATCAATGGTAACTACGACTGGGAAACTTTCTCTTGCTTCAACGCTTGCTGAGAAAAATGTTATTCACAAAGTTGAGTGCTACCACCGAATACGAATACTGAAACAGTCTTTCTGAAACCACGCATACCATTCAAAATAGTCTTCTTCAACGTTCGCAAACTAATGCAGATCGGATAACAGATAGGGTTGGTCACAGGTTGGAGAATTGATTGCAGCTTCTGTTGCAACTAAACATCAAACTAAGCTAGGTTCAAGGATGGGTAACATCTTACCGTAAATTATAGATGAGTATTGGTTGCAGTTGCATAACGCCATGAAAATCGTGAGTAAAGTCTCTTGTGGCTTCACGAAACGTCCCTCGTATAAGCACTTTGTTTCTTCAGGCTCCTTACAACTCATTGAAGCACGTCGGTCTACTCCGGATGACCGTGAGATTGACCATAAACGACGATTGTTAAGTAGTAATGAAATTGGACAAAGCTTATGTGAAAACCGAGAAGCCTGGTGGTCGGAGCATTACAATGAGTTGGAAGCAGCAGCTGCATCTGTCAATTTGCAGATCTTTCAACTCATCCGAGCCATTGACAGCAATAAGTCTGGTGTGAGTGAAACAATCCGTGAAGATGACGGGATGCCAATCGCTAACATCTATAGACGTCTTGATCGATGGGTAGTTTTTCGAGGAGCAGTTCAACTGACCTTTTGCCCCGGCGACATCGATTGAAGTTTCCTGCCCTTTGTGGCCTGGGACGACTGATTCACTTAGCCAGGTAGACGTCCGCAAAAAACTCCAACTCTTGAAGCGGTACAAATCACCGGGTCCACGTGACTTACCTACGGTACTTTTAAAAGATGGTGGTGGCTTTCTGGTCAAGGAACTGTCTGAGTTGGTTATAATGCTCTGACAATTAGAGAGTGCTTCAACATCATGGAATTAGTCGATAATTGTCCTTATCTTTAAAAAGGGTTCTGTAACAACTATCGAGGGATAAGTACACTTCCAACTGAGTCCAAACTATTGGCTTTAGTCATACTTCGTAGATTGTTCAAAACCCGAGAAAGATTGACTCGCGTGGAGCAGGCTGGTTTTCGTTCCGGTCGAGGATGTATCGATCATATCTTCACACTCCACCGAATGTTAGAACACCGTCCTACTTATCACAGGCCAAGAATCATGTGGACCTGTTTCCTGGAGAAAGACTTCTCGACCTTGAGTATGCGGACGATATTGTGTTACTGTGCGATAACACCCAAGCCATGCAATCCGCACTTAATCAATTGGCAATTAGTGTCCGTAGATACGGTATGTGGTTCTCACATTCGAAGTGCAAAGTACTTTTACAAGACTGGCAAAACCCTGGTCCTGTACTCACCCTGGATAGTGAGCAGATAGACATAGTCGAGAAGTTCGTGTATCTGGGCAGCTGCATAAGTGCTGGTGGTGGCGTGAGTGATGAGATCAATGTACATATAGTGAAAGCCAGAGCGGTTTATGCCAATCTGGGCCATCTTCGGCGCTTTCGTGATGTTAGTCTGGCTGTAAAAGGTCGGATCTACAACGCGTCGATGAGAGCAGTTTTGCTCTATGCTTGCGAAACCTGGCCTCTCCGAGTTGAGGATGTTAGACGACTCTCTGTGTTCGATCATCGCGATCTCCGAAGGATTGCTGACATCAAGTGGCAACACCATGGTAGTAATGCAGAGGTTCGGCATCGTGTGCTCGGGCACAGAGACGATAATTCTATTGGTGTCACTATCTTGAAACATCGACTTCGGTGACTTACACATGTTCTACGAATGTCGTTCCAGAGAATTCCAAGTCGTGCATTGTTTACCGACGCTAGAACTGGTTGCAAAAATCAGTGAGGTGGTCAGTGTATGATATTGTGTTGAGGTATGAAAGAATGCTGAAAATGACTGGCTTCTGTTGGTCCTTCACGACTTCCTAATTGAAGTCCTAGAGATGGTGCAGCACAGTGGTTTGAGACACTATCAGACATGGCTGAGAATAGAAACCAGTGGCGATCCTGTGGTAACTTGTTTTACTTCCTTCATACAAGTGAGCGTAACTTCTTTAACTGAAAGGTATCTTTCTGGTTGTATTTTTACTAACTGAACTGTTTCTCCCACTATTATTATTATTTCACCCTCATACACTAATTTCTGTTCGTTGTTGTTATTCTCTATATCATACACACTTTACATTCTGTATCTCCCCACACTCGTGGTTATTTTTGTGTAACATATATATTTGGTGCCCCCTTGTACCAATGTTTGTGTGTTCAAATGAATAATGAAAATTGCTTTTATCTACAATTTTTTTTATGACTTTGCATTATACTTCGCAACATAGTCAAGGGTGAAGGTTCTTATCTTATTTACGATTCGTCAACTAAACGTCCTTGTATCTTAGTGTTCATATGTAAACTCAAACTTAGAAAATTATCGCTCTAAATTTAAATGCTTCATTCATTATGCTACTGAATTCAGATGGCTTATAAATTGTTCAACAGGCATGACAAGAGTGGATATTCTTTTCAAGTACCAAGTTGTTAATATTATGTATATATAAATACAAGAAAACGTAATAGCTCATAGAAAACATGTAAATATGTACATTAAACAAAGAAAAAGAAAGTTAAGTAAATATAGTGCAGAACAGTTTGTCGGTTTGAATGACTTTAATGATCAACAGGATAGAAAAAAAAACAAAATCAATAAATAAGAAAACACTAGGCAAACAACAGAAGTAAAAAAATAAATTAGAGGAAAAAGGAATTACATAAGCATAGATTTTATTCATTGATTAGATGACAAACAGTGAGTGTGAACAACTTGGTTTTTAGGAATAAGCCAAGCAAAGCTATCAGATGGACCATATACACAAATTGATTGATGGCATACAGAACACAAAATATCATCTTTAACTAATAGAAAATGTGATTTGTTAGGGAGATCAACAATAGATAATTTCGCATTATATTTAGTCAAACCATATTCTAACTGAAGTTCTGACCATTCTTGTAGAGTAGATCGAAATGCATTATGTAAAAATGGTTTGATTTCCAGAATGTTCCATGTTGATGGAAAACGAGATAATAACTGGAAGAAAAATAACAATACTTAATGTTTCTTTTTCAAAGGATATGATTAATTTGAAGATAGTTTTCGTAAAAAAAGTCTATATCAGGTGAAAGAGACACTGAAAACTGGAAAACATTAAAAACAAAGTTTTCACTGTACCTTTGTCTGACAAACAGTCAGTAATTTTGAGTTTGTGATTACTGTAAGATCAATGAACCTTATATTAATAACCAAAACACACTTGTATAAAGGATTACAATAAGAATTGAAACTTTATTACTCTGATATCCAAGTAGATGTAGCTAAATATTAAATTGTCCTTCGAATATATCAAAGTTAAATTTAGGGGGGTTGATGATAGAGGATTACGTCTATGGGTCCTGAGGACGATTTTACACATTGTGCACATAGTCCGCAGTCAACTCCGAGCAAATCAAGATGGGAATTATGCTTATGTCATTTCTTAGTATAGATAGACCATTAGCAACTAAGAAAAGAAGTTGAGCAAATAGAAAAACTCTAGAGTCTTAGTTAAATCAAACATATATGACATAGAAAAAAAAAGAGTAACTAATTACCTTTGAATAATTAAATTTTAAATCAGGATTATTCAGAAGATTCAAAATCATTTTCTTTATATCTTTAGAATTGTTCTCGTTAGTATGAAGTCTATTTAAACAGAGACAAACAAACAGGGAGGAAAACGAATACATAGAAACAAGTGAAAAAGAGACATTATAATGTCAAAAGTTTTCAATTCACTGTTTTTAATTGTTAAACTTTTGAGTACTTTAATAGATTGGAGATAAATTTTCTTTAGAAATTTTCATAGTGTAGAAATTCCTAACAACACAAATAAATGAACAAAATTGTTTCCCATTGGATATTTATCCAGCTTCACACCAAATATACCATAATTTTTATGTGCATGTATGAGAAAGGTAGAGATCAGTTAAAGCAATTTCTGAATTAATGATAATTATCTGTATACTTAAACTGACTATTCATACATTTATTAGTACGTAATTTTCAGTCATTAGTATTTTTAGTATAAGGGAGTTTATGGAGATGGCGACGATTTTAATTATTTAAATCACGAATTAATATTAGCTAGATCACCATTGAAAACAAGAAAGGACTGAACTATTATTTGATTCAAACGTGTGACTTCTTAGCAGCGCGCTCAGAGTTCGCATGTAGGGCCAACGTTCTAGGGTTCGATTTCGTATGGAAGGGTATTAGAATCACATTATTCAGTCCCATATTAAGACGTAACAGCTATTCAGTTATTTTTAGTCTTTAACAATGGTCTAGTTAAGAATAATAATTATTTTGATACATTTATCTTTGCAAACTTTGACCTACTTCTTAAGTCAGTATTCTTATTCATATTGCTACTTTGTTTATAATATTTTATTTATTACTAAACCTGTCAAACAAGCAGTTATGTAAAACGTTTTCATTGTTACAATAGACCAACATATTGTGTTGACTGGTTCAATATTTTTAATACATCCATGTAAAAATTACATTAAAGTCTGATGAAGTGTTTAATTGAAAATATTGTTCGTATATGTGTGTTGTTCTGACTCGATCGACGTTACAAAACACTTTCATTTTCGAAGTGTTAAATTTTCACGTAACAAATAGATAGAAACTATAAATTTCTGTGATTTTAACAAGATTTATGATTTAACGTAGATGAAAAATGAAAGGGATTCGGCGCATAAAATTTTATATTCAACAATATCATTTAATTGAACTTTACAGTCATATTTATGGTTAGTTTTTACTTATAAATTATAACAAAATAGAAGAGTGTTACCTTATTTCAACTCAGAGGAACCACCATTCAAGGGTATCTACAAAGTTGCAAAAACTGAATTAAGAGTTTGGATCAGAAATTTGTACATTTCTGAGGAATTGTCGGTTCACCAATTCAACCCCGATCTTTGTGTTCACGAGAGACATATTTATTACGTTATTGCACCATGATCTTAGTACCACTTCTAATTTCACAAGTTATTATTGCGAAATTCTTTCGTCCTTCATATTCCTGATATTCGTCAAGTGGGTAATTTTCCCATACATCTTTATATAAACTACTACTTATTACTATTATGTAACTTATATCTCACACTTGAAAAATACGGATAATTTCTGATAACATGACTAAATAATGTAACACGTAATTCAAATACGTCCTTCATTATGAACTGTAATCAAATAAAAAAATGGCAAAAACCAAGAAGCACTCGATAACTGATTCATCTGAGTTTGAGATTAATTTATAAAGAATATTCGCGATCCTATATGAAACGGAAACAAAAATCGTCACATCTCTCAGTGAAAAAGGCACCACTGAATAAACGGGTTGAAAACCAATAATTCACAGTTTTAACTACAGGTGATTCGCACACCATAACACAACACTAAAAAATAGCTGTCTCGACAAACTCAATACAACACAACATCCCACTAAGTAGAAACAATTATTCGATTATCATTGATTTCTAATGGTTATTCACCTGATGCTAGTAGCGTTGAAACTTTAGCTCAATGGAATCTCATAGACTGCTTACAACTTATAACATCCACGTACTAAATTACTTAATATTTTACAGATCACAGAGTATTTAGGATATAACCAAACTTGAATATTTCGACATTTATGTTTTTGGAGTCTACTTACTTACGATTTCTACGTTTTCTGATTGATCTGACAATTCATTTAACAAAAATCAGATCAAATATTTGCTCCAGGACTACGTACTGTAATGTATGAAGTGATATGAATTCAGTAAGAGATATAAAAAGTAGGGGTAGATGTAGTCAATCATTTTATTCACTGATTTTTCGTGAACCACATAAATTTCAATGAAATCAAAATTATTCAAAAATGCATATTAAAAGTAACAATCTATTAATTACTTTGTATAAATACAATTTTTGAATAAAAACTCATGACATTAGTGAGACTTTTTCTGTAAAACTGTTGAGATATTCAGGAAAATATCCCAAAAATTATCCTGTTAAGCCTAATGCTATCCTTGGACATGAAATGGTATCATCTTATTGGTCAATATTTATTTAGCGTGTCATTTTCCTACTGGCCATTATTGTACAATGTCATTTTCTATTTTATGGTACGTTGTGGTCTGCTTGACTGGTATATAAACAAAGTATGTTTGAAATATAATGATTCATATCTCCGAGGCTGTGACTTGTGTTCTGGACTCAACTGGCTGGGTTAGACAGGGAAGCGGGACCAATCAGAACCCTAGGTCGTTCTACGTGTCTGCGCGTCTTTGGTCGGATAAATAATTCGCTATCCCTTTAATCCGCAGCATTATTTTTCACAGTTATAACAAAAACGTATACTAGTTTCTTTTGGACTTGATAATGAAATAATTGATCAATATAATCCAACTACTTTTGGAAGCCACAGATATCACAACTTATGGAAATTGAACAAAAATTCAAATGACTATTCCAGTTATCGCTGTCATTCTTATTATCTTTCAATTCATTAGACTACACTTGTAATTCCGTTCATTAAATCTGTATTCTGAATATTTTGACCTAATAATCTTAATTTACTTTATTGATTTTGTCGAGATGTTTTTGTGGTATTTGTACTAATCGATGATTTCTTTTGTACGCGATTCTACGGTTGAGCTGATTTTCAAACACAATATTTCTAATTGTGCTCACTGTAATCTCACTGATTTCGATACTGGTATATACAGTACTCCTGGTCATTAGGAATTCCATTATTTCCAAACACTACAGTTTAACAATTGGAAAGTAATTTTTATTATGCAATGGATGATCAGTAAAAACTAAACGGTATTGAAAGTGTATTTTGTTTTAATTTGATGCTCTTCGGTGGTGCATATCCACAACTAATCTTAGGATTGAACATATCATTTGAAATGAGTACAATATTATCCAGTCACAGAGTTGAGCAAACAGACCATGGTATCATAAAATAACCCCAAGAACTCATAATCGACCCTAATCAGCAGTTAACACACAATTAATATTCATCATAATGATTTAATAAAGCTTTTAGACAGTTTTTAAGTTATTCATGAGAATAAATCAAGTTTTAAAAACCCTCCTACATATTATTATTATGAAAATATTAATCCATAAATAGTAAACTATAATTTAAATCAAGTCAAAATCTTACCTATCAAGACAGATTTCAACAAATGTTGTAAATAAGAAGGAGGATATTGGTTGATTACTAGAATCACCTTCCATAAATTCAAACTGATCCCAATGGTGATAAGTACCAAGTGAATTTACTGCTATTGTATTACATTTTACATTAGTATCATTGTTACGTGCACTACAATGAATAGGTTGTTGACGGCTGAATGTAAGACAATAGTACAATGCGGCTTTATAATCATTTACATCTTCAATAAGATATTTTAAAGCCTTCACATGATTATTGGCCTGATTAAAAAGATTTTGTCAACAACAAAAAAGGCTAAATATTAAGAAACTCATGTTGTTGAATTGAATAAATATGTAGGTTTAAGTAAATGGCTTGCGAAATGTAAATCAAACCGACAATTTTTAATTAAGAAATGAAATCGACTGGGGAAATTTAAAAAAAATACAGTAGTCTACGAAACTGAAGGTTCTTTATTTCAATGTCATGTACAGCCGCAGATTTGTGCAATGTTAGGCAAACACATAATATGAAAGAGTTGATCAAATGACTCTGGATTTGAATCTCTATCTAGCTGAAGTTAGTAAGCGACAAAAATTATCTTCAGATGTATAAAAGATGCTGAGTGCCGAAAGTATATATCATCTAGGTTTTTTGATTGTTTTTTTAACTGCAAGATTAAGACTAGAAGGTGAAGACATCATATGTTCCTTTCATGATTCGAATTTTAGAAATACTTGACAAAGTAGTTGATGATTTTATCAGTAAACCAATAGGATTGTAAGTGAAATCCTATCAAATAAGCGTTTCAAAAATACAAATTCAAATAACAAATGGCAAAATATCCATTTTATTTATTTATTTGAACTCGTACACAATGACATAAATGGGGATCAAAATAAATATGGGCCATATAAGTCAGAGTATGAGATAATGAAGGGATAAATGAACAAGGGTGAATATAATCAGATACCAATAAATGAATAGCAGTGAACGAGATTAGTATGTTATCGGATGAGCAGTTCAGTACATAAAAGTACAACAAGGAATCTTTCCAGTTAAAGAAGTTCTCACTTTCATATGAAAAAGAAAGATAAATTACATCAAGACTGACACCAAAGTCTATTTTGAGCCACATCTGATAGTCTCAAGTAACTAGATTGCACCATCTCTCAGACCTCAATCAGAGAATTATAAAGGATTGAAAGATCCCAGTCGTGTTCAGTTTTGTTTTACACCCGGGCATCATGTCATAAACTGACCACTTCTGCACTTTTTCTAACCAGACCCCATCTCGGCAAATAAGGTATACTATGACTCTAATACCTAAATTTTCACACACATTTAATCGGTTATTGGCAATTCATTTTAATGTTTTTAATCTTTAGTCATTTTTTATTAACACCATGTTTTTTTTAATTTAGACATCCTTCTTATATTCCTTAAGTGGATAATTATCCTTCACACATTTGGTTTTATCTTAGTATTACTCTTTTACTTCTCGATCATTAAACTACCTTATATCAATCCATGAAGTTGTGTACTACTCTTCATATTTTTCGACAGACTAAGTTGGGTAGTAAGCTTAAGTAAGCAAGTAACATAGACATCAAAAATTCAAACCACCACTCCTTGGCACGTTGATAACTTCTCAGCATAAAAGAATCGTTTATTAGCATAATATCAATTGACTGGATATAATGCATCAAAAGGGGGTGATATCTATATAGTATAATTGTAAATGTTACAGATATTTTAAATTTCCATTACACAGTTTAACATTTACAGATGCGTATATTAATAATGTGTTATTCCACGTAGATGGTCCAGGATCGATCTGTTTTCGTAATCTATAACTTTTTTTATATGTACTGTTACCTCATATTTTCTTTTAAAGTGCTGTTGCTGGATTTCTGCGACAGACTATTCAGTTCTCAAACCATTTAGTCGTATTTTAATTATCGTTCTTTACCATGACATCACTTAATACTGATAAGAATGTTTTGTGATTGATACAATCTAAATCCTATTGGTCACCAAAATATTAAAGTGAACAGAATCCAAACAGATAGGTCTATCCTATTAAAAGACTACAGCAAGTTCCATGTTGATAATAAATGATTGTCCTCACTCACAAAAGTTGAACTAAACGTTAGCACCACCTGCAGATCAACCAAACTATTTCGATACTGTTTTTCGAAGAATTTCACATCTGTGGTAAAATATGTAGCTAAATTAATACGTCATAAACGTATACGTTTACTTCAGAATGAATTACTATGGGAGAAAACGGGATTTAGTGAATCATTCACCGTGTATACTACGATTTAATAAAACGAAATAATAGTCTTTTATTCATCAAGATTACTAAAATGGGCTTGCTTATATGTGCACTATTCTCAACTTGTCACCGATATCTTTCCCTTAAATGTCAACAAGATTACGATTTAATCTTGATTGACTCCAAACTACCTAGCAGTGCCATAGGAAAACATATATTGGACATTAGTCATATTCCCTCACACAATTATTGTTATCATTATTAGTATTACTATCTCCACTGTTATAATTAATTCAACGTTGTTTCTGTTCGGTAATTATTACCATTATCATCACTTCATCTGTTGTAATCAAAACTTGCAAATGATTCTTATCACCGATTACATCATGGTCTTATTCACATTTAAAATATTCATCTATATATTACAATTACAATTATAAAACATTTTGTTTATTAGAACAAATTAGTGAACATGTGAATGAAATGAATTTAATTTACTTCACAATTTATTCCTTATTCTTGCTTAGAAACGCTCATTCAGAAATTAAGAGGATAATTTACGTAGCAATACTAAAGATAGCCTGTGGACTGACATGGAAAGAAAGGTTTTAATTATGCAATCCATCGATTAATTATATGTTTTTGATTTATGCCTTGTGGCATGAAAGGTATATATGGTATCAATATGCCGATAACGAAAGTGTAATAAAGGATTGGAGATAATCTCCGACAATTAAAAGGTCTATATTTAAAACACTCAGTCAAAGCTCTGTTACACATTACACGATCTAACCACGAAAACTTGAACCAACAGATTATTGCAGTCCCAAGAATGCTCACAATTTGAGATGTAAGCATTTAAAATAGTATCAAAAACTTGTCAACAACAAAAACTGAATAAACCATTATAAAATTACCGTTAACTGACCTTTCCTTCAAGAATCGCTAGTTCATAGGCGAGCTTCTTTTGAACTGCAACACTCTCATTATATAAACGGTCCAGTAGTGTTTTATGTGATATCAATAATGAATAACAGATCAGTTGGCAAAATTCAGTTCTATTTCACAAAGTTACAAAATACAGGTAAATATAAAACTAACTACTGATAAGATAGTAAGTAACTAAATAGTGAATCTGTCATTCTCAAAAATAAATTGAAGACTAGAGTGGTAAATGGAGAGAAATAGGCAATATCTTGATGTAACAATATGATGATTTGTACTAACCGCTTTCCTGTGGTGTGATAGACGGAATTACTCATATCTAAGACAAATTGAAAAGGCAAGCCACATAGTTTTAGTGTTATTGTCCATCAGTGTTATGGAACAGCATATGAACTGGTTGAGCAAAGAACATACAATGGTGATTAAAAGTTCTATTCTCACTCATTTAGTTTACACATGACATCAAGTTGACTTTATTAAGGCACTTAATTCTATCAAATCTACCACATAGCTTACGGGCTTGCCTTCTCTACGCCGTTGAAGCTGTCGCAATCCATATCCAGAAAACCAACCCCTGTACCTAAAAGAGGATGTACAACCTCTCTTTCTGACTTGGCCATTGATATAGGTTATATAAAAAGTGAAGAGAACTACTTTTAATACTTCCGCAATTCTCGTCCGATTGCGGTTCCTTACTTGACTTTAGTAGTTCATGCTTTATTCTTAATTAGTTTTATTAACCATCAATTGTTCGACTACATATTTCAACTGTTATTACTAATATTGAACTTCTTGTCAAATACTTTATCAATCCTAATATCCTATTATCGATCCTACATATTCTTCACTAAGTAACTGTTACTAATATTCAACTTCTTATCAAACACTTCAACCATTCTATTATTACTAATCCTTTATCTGTACATTGTAATTTGTTCGTTTATCAGTAAATACCTTAGAACATTATTCACCTTATGCACTTTAACTTTTACGCGTTTTATTCATCATTCGCAATTGTTTCTATAAACACTTAAATCTGTAAACACTAATATCTAACCCAAGTCACCTTGGCTAATTTAATATATTCTTAGTGTATGGTCAAGTGTACAATCATGATGAAAAACTAGTTGAAAGGAAATATCTCTTTGCTTAATTCATCTTTTCATTATATATCAAGATATGAATTATCACTCCCGACCATTTTTGCTACCTTGACGTGGTGGTCGGGCTTGCCTATCGTGATGAAGCAACCGAGCTATACTGGCTGGAACAACTGTTCCTCAAGGTCCTACCATGTCAGACAGGTCGGTTGAAGAGCGGTAAGACTAAAAGCAACAAACCCAAGGTCCGAAGGCGAAGTCGTACTGCTGACTGTACAGAGGTGTGACAGCAGTAAGGTGTTTCCTTCAGACAACCAGCATGACAGCGATGCTGCCTTCCCACAAGGAGGGGTGAGGTTAGAAAAGGTCGACCCTAAAAATGCACACCTCGTCTTATCTCACGGATATCCGTCTCCGACGGTGAGGTCTCAACAAGTACGGAGCTAACACAAAAATTGCCCATAAAAAGGTCGTGTGTGACCGACCTCAGGCAGTTGTCCCTTGGGCACTGCGGTCACGCTCTCAGGTCACTAAGACCACCTCTAATCCAATTTCCTTTTCAGGTACCTCCAGAACAACCCTTCCACGGTGTGGGCAACCGGAAAGTGATAACCACCCTCATATCTCTAACAGTACTCAAGACCACTGTATTCATAATCAACCTCCCTCCTCAATTCCTATTATTCCTCCTATATCGGCCATCACCTCTCAACTTCTTCTTTCGGCTTCCCCCTCAAGTGTCACCATAGCTGACGATTCTAATGCTCAAAACACTGTCCCAGGTCTACTGAAACCTCGCTCCAAACTACACATTGGAGCCTTCAACGTACGCACCCTATGTCAAATCGGTCAACAGGCTTCCTTGGCTAGAACCCTAGAATCTCGTACCATTGATGTATGTTGTGTCTCTGAAACACGCATACAGGATCCCAGTGTGGTCGTTCACTTGACCTCACCTCGGCAGAACGGAGAGCCAACGAGATACACCCTTCGTGTATCTGGTGACCCGATGGCAAGTTCTCGTGGACTGGCAGGAGTAGGGTTAGCACTAAGCATGAGGGCGGAACAAGCACTGTTAGAGTGGATCCCCGTTAATAGTCGTCTATGTGCTGTTCGGTTAAACGGCTCCGTAAGAACTCGGAAGGATAGGGACACACGTCGTTGCCTTTTTGTCGTTTCTACCTACGCTCCCACCGACTGCACCTCAGATGATGTGAAAGATGAATTTTACAGAAAGCTGTCCGAACTTCTTCAGAAAGCTAAACGCTCAGACATAGTACTCGTAGCAGGTGATTTTAATGCTCAGATAGGTAGCTTAAACCAAACAGAAAGGCATTTAGGTGGATATTTTAGTATTCCGACACAGCGAACAGATAATGGTGATCATCTGCTGCAACTATGCTCAGACAATCGTTTATTTTTAGCAAACACAAATTTTAAGCATAAGGAAAGACATCGTCTAACATGACGACCCCCTACACCAAACCAACGATGGACTCAAATAGACCATATTGCCATCAGTCATCGTTGGAGAGGGTCGGTAGAAGATTATCGCTCATTCTGGAGTACCTGTTTGGACTCCGATCACGCCCTAATACGGGAACGCATCTGCTTGCGCCTCATTGGACGCAAAAAAGTCACATTAAAAAGACCCATTAGAACTGAGTTGAGTAACGAGAAAACCAAAAGTAGGTTCCAGGAACAACTGAGGTCACGATTAGGTAGTTCTGAAAACGAGGCTGACCCAGATGTTGCTTGGAAAGATATACAAACAGTTGTGGAAACAGCAATGAAATCTATTAGTGACTTAAACCACAGAGTTACAAAGAACCAGTGGATTTCTTCAAAGTCTATCACACTGATGGATTCTCGCAAACTCGTCCCATCAGGTTCCGAGCATGATGAAGAGCGAAAACAAATCAGATCTAGGTTAAGCAAGTCTCAGGAACGACCGTGAGCAGTGGTGGGCAACGAAAGCAAAAGAGATGGAAAAGGCGGCGGCTATAGGGAACACAAGACAGCTTTACAGACTAATAAAAGAAACTGAAATTAATAAGTTGAGTGTAAGTGAGATTATATCGGAAAAAGACGACACCCTCATCTACTCTCAGTCCAGACGTTTAGAACGATGGGCGGAACATTTTAGGGAACAGTTCAGCTGGCCTCCAGCTACTCTACAACTACCCTCCATTCCCAGACAGTGTGAATGGAACATTGAAGTAGGTCCCCCAACTCTAGCAGAAGTTCGAAAGGCTATAGTTAATCTGAAACGAGGAAGGGCAGCTGGTCCAGATGGATTGGCTCCAGAGGTCTTTAAGGATGGTGGTCGAATTTTAACGATTAGGTTGACTAATATTTTAGCTAAGATCTGGGAGTTAGACGTCATTCCATCTGACTGGTCACAATCACTCATCGTCCCAATATATAAGAAAGGGTCAAAATCATCCTGTGACAACCATAGAGGGATTAGTTAAACTAATATAGTATCTAAAATACTAGCCTCGATAGTTATCAGACGCCTAACTAAGACTCGTGAACTACAAACTCGAGAGAACCAAGCTGGCTTTAGACCTGGTCGTGGCTGCATCGACCACATATTCACCATTCGTCAGGTTCTAGAACACAGGCATACCTATCGGCGTCCGACGATGGTGGTCTTTCTTGACTTAAAAGCAGCATTTGACTCGGTAGACCGCGAGATTCTGTGGCAGTGTCTGTCATTGAAAGGCGTATCTCAGAAGTACATAAACCTTGTAAAGGCTCTTTACTCGAGCAATACAAGTCGAGTCAGAGCTTATGGCGAACTGTCATCTGCTTTTGCAACCTCAAGTGGTGTCCTTCAAGGCTGTTGTTGTGGATGCGGAGGAACAGACCAATAATTATCATGTTAAGTCCAATGGTGTCCTTGGACTTTAAATGGACATTTTCTATTGGTCGATATCTGTTCACTTGTTGAATATTGTACAAAATGTTGTTTTCTATTTTATGGTACGATGTGGTGTGCTTGATTGGTATATAAACAAAGCATGTTTGAAATATAATGATTCATATCTCCGAGGCTGTGACTTGTGTTCTGGACTCAACAGGCTGAGCTAGACAGGGAAGTGGGACCAACCGAGACTCTAGGCCGTCCGTACGTGTTTACGTGTCACTGTAACCGATCGATAAGTACTCTGCTCTCTAATTTCCCAGTCAAGAACACAACAATTAGCACAGGGTAAAAATCGACAGCAACCTAAAGGCATAACAGCTGTCCACCTTCTCCATTTCTGTTTAACTTCATCATAGAACTATTGATGCAAATAACATTCTCGTCTACTGAATTCTCGATTATCGATCTCCTACCAGGAGGCCACTTATCGACTTAGAATACGCGGATGACATAGTCCTGCTTGGTGAAGACGCTGACAAAATGCAGAGTCTTTTGGTAGCGCTGAGCAACAATAACAGAATGTTTGGAATGCGCTTCTCTCCCTCTAAATGCAAGTTGTTGCTTCAGGACTGGTCTGCGTCAACGCCTGAACTAAGGATAGGGAGTGAAGTAGTCAAACGCGTCGACAACTTCACTTACCTTGGGAGTCTGATTAGCCGTAATGGGTTGGTGTTCGACAAGTCTCAGCATAGATTCGAAAAGCTCGCTTGGCTTTTGCCAACTTACGTCGCGTATGGCGAAGGCGAGATATCCGTCTATCAATAAAAGGACGAGTACACTGCGCGGCAGTCCGTTCTGTTTTAATTTACGGCAGCGAAACATGCCCATTAAGAGTAGAAGACACTCGTAAGCTACTAGTATTTGACCACAGATGCCTCAGAAATATTGCTGGAGTCTGCTGGGATCACCGGGTAAGTAATAGTGAGGTTAGACGCAGGGTATTAGGAGATGATGGTAAATCAGTTGATAAGGTTGTGAATCTTCATCGACTGAGATGGTTGGGCCACGTGTTACGTGTGCCTGAACACCGATTACCACGACGTGCAATGCTAACCGGTGTTCAGGATGGTTGGAAGAAAGTTAGGGGCGGCCAAACCAAAACGTGGCATCAGTGCTTGAAGTCACTAACTTCTAGTCTGAGCCATGTTGGTAGATGCAGACTACTTGGTTGGGGTACGCGTGACTATCTTAATCAATGGTTGGAGACTTTTGGTGACGTGGCTCAGAATCGATCACAATGGCGTCGGTGTATACACTCTCTGTCTTCTCTTAAACTAAAAGATTGAAATCGCTTCATATCTTTCTTTCTACGAACTAATTCTTTCTTCCTGTACTATATCCTTATTGCAATCTTTCTTTAATATATATTACCACCTCTGAATTAACTACTTTTATGAATCCGGTATCCATCTTGTTGTGTTAATGAGGTACGGCAACTTGGACTGATGCATATATGTGCCTGGTCCTACGTTGTAGCTGACTGACATGAATTATCACTATATTGGTGAAAATGATCGAAAAGAAGGTCTGATTCTATGGTGTAAATATCAAAGAGTTTATATATAATTAAAAATTCGATGACATGCTACATTCATAATCTTTAATATCGCTTGTAAAATTACTCATATTTACAAACAATTTTATTATATTACACGATAATTTGCATTTTTGAATATATTATCACGAAACCAAATTCTGGTAAAAAAAAAAGCAACGACCTAAATATTCAAAAACAGATATAAATAAGGTATGTTTAATCCGATCAAATTATTGACTTATTCTACATTTACATTGCTTATATGTCTAAATTTATTATGATTGAATAATACTTGATAACATTAAAATGCTATTTGTAATAATATGCTACGTTCGAGGAGATTACAATATCACCTAGGACAGGCTAACAGAACGAAAATCAGCAACACAACAACAGGACTAGTTAAGCTATTCCACTGTACAACAGCCCAACTAACTAGAGGGAGAAGACCAGATTCAGCCGAGAAAATATCTATTCCACAAGCAGCCGGGAAGCACGAACGAACAAGCACACAACTCATGAGTATACATACAGCACAAAATTGTCTTTGGAAAACGTCACAAAATAGCGTACTGAAAGAGGAAACGAGTCAATGAGTCAATACAAACTGAGGGTAGAAATTGATGTTTTGGCGCGAAAATGGGAAATTCAAATTTTCATGGTAAAATTTAAAAATTGAGACGTTTACCAAGTGATTTCTGGGGATCTAGCATCCTCAACATAATAAAAAAAGATAGTGTACTAAGAAACCAATTCATTTCAATTCTGAGGAGAGCAAGAACAAAGATCTGACTAGAATAACATGGATTCATTTTATTCTTACTCATATTTATTTATTTGAACACATAAATATTGGTACAAGGGGGCACCAGATATATATGCACCACACACATTCTTACTTATGATCATTACGCAACCACATGTCTGTAGATTCCTGTCCTTTTGTTACTATCAGTGTTGAAATATATTTCTTTCAAATTAGATACATGTTAACAATATTTTATTTAGTTTACAAGACTCAGTCACACCCTTGCTATACTACACTGATAAGTGAACATTAAAAAAAAACTCCGATCAAAGTTTATCATATAAGTAATTTGAACCCATTTTGTAATTAGGATTTTTAAATATTACGGGTTGTAAGCCGCTGGTAGGAATCAAACGAAATGAAATAAATGTATGTTATTTCGCTCAAATCTTTATTTTTGCTATCCTCAAAATGATAAAGAGAACTGTGTGTATATGATTTCACTATGATAACTTTTTATGTATAATAACTGTCAAATTTTAACATTTCGTCCAATTTGCCAATAATAATTAGCATATGATGCTAATGTTGTTTACTCTACTGTTTCAACATAAAATGAACTTGTCTGATTATGATTAGCAGGTTATGGGATTATTTCCACCAGTAAGTCAAACTCCTTAAGATATGTTATCGTGGAAAAATGCCATTATGAAACTCCTATTCTTTTCATAATGTTTGTTTAACTAATTAGTCAGTCAGTCATATGTATTATAGAACCTGGAACACATATTCATCGATGCAGGTGTCATACCACGTAAACACAGTGAGATAAAATTATCGAAACAACTCTCTGGATAGTGAAAGTAGTAACAGTCCCAGTAGTAGTAGAAAAGTGACAGTGAGACAGATTTAATTCAAACATGTAAGATTTAATATTGGAAAAAGATTCGTATTATTTTTGTTGCATTCTCGAGTAACAGGATATGAGAAGTGCAGACATTCAGAAATATATGACTGGACATAATGAAAATAATAAACCTATGAGCATTGTCATTTTTAAACATCTTAAAGGGGATGTCGGTTAAATAGCTTCCATATAGCTCATGACCAATTTATGATCTTAATTATGTTTTTACTTGGACTTTATCCGTGAATACTGAACTTTATCAGTTTTTCCGAAATGATTTTAAATATATCGATTCTTCACAATATCGTGTGACGTAAGATATGTCTCAAAGCCTTCCTACGCCAAGTATTTTACTTGTTATAAACAGGTGATTAATTAAATACAACCAATGTCTATGACAATGATCATCCAATCTCAAATAAGTACAGTGATTCTTAAAACTGACTGAATTTACGCTAAATTCACCTACTCAACTTCAATGGTAATAACCATGTGTTGATCAGTGACTAACTCTGAGGTAATTCCCGGAGTTTCAGTAATCAGTCGTGACCAGTGGATCTCAACCATGAAGAGTGTGAGGCAGTTACCCATCAATAAAATTGGGGGATGGCTGTGTAATTATGAGAATAGATTCAAGTTAAACATGTAAACCATTAGATACTTGCTCAGTGGTTTAAAGACTAAGTACTCGCTGTGGGACCTGAAGGTCCTAGACTTGATCTCTAGTGGAGTTATGAATGATTAATTATCGGAAGCTCCACATTAGAACGAAACATCTGTTCAGTGTTTCCTAACTTTAAATGGTTATTTGATTAAGGCTGGTTCGTGATATTAACCATAAAACCCAACAATCTTTACCAACCCCCTATACAGTATTCAAATTTTAGCTTAAGCTGTAAAAAATTATAGTATACTCACATTTCAGTAAGTGAACTTCTTCATTGAGACATGAACATGGTAAACCCCACTTCAAATGTGAATCTTTCTTATTAAGATACCGAGTGAAGACTACCAGGAACTTTTCAAAGGTACGAACTTACTTTCAAATGTGAATCAATTCGATACATAGCTTAAATAGTTAGAATTACAATTATTTTCAAAAATTCATTAATCACTAGAATAATGATCCACTGACTACTTTTGATATTTTGGAGTGCCAGTAAGTTGCCTAATCGTTTTCCTTTCAACTCAGTAGTATCACTAACTAATGCACACAGACATACATAAACTTCAACTTGATTACCGATTTGCATCGTTATCCATTTCATTCAATTATCACCTTATACACAACTTCCATTCGCCAGTTAACAGAACAACAGATAACATATATTATTTCAAACGAACCTGACGATGAGAATAATATAATTAGAAAAATAAGCGATAGTATAAAGACTGTCTATGCGTAAAAAGAACGTGGCTTCAAAATATCAATATTACTACCACTGATTTTATTCATTTAGAATACGTTTTGGTGAGCCAATTTACAACAGCTTGTTGGCAGGAGGCAGTAAAATTCACACTCAATCATACGATTTCCGTTGACAGTCAATCAGTTTATATCAATGTAATTATTTGATGCCATTGTTGAAGTATCATACTAATAAGCTTTATGAAATATTTAACAAGATTTGCTAGTAAATAAACTCAAAGAAATAAAAGGATTACCTCAATTTACGGATTTGTTTTTTCATTTGATCATCAGATAAATTGTCAGTACTCCTTAATTTCATTAATAGGGTATTTAAATAAAGTTTGCCTAACAGATTATGATTTTCTGGATGCTAAAATACAAAATAAATAAACAAAAATCATCATAAAAATAGAAGTGGGTTTGTATTTGAAGTGAAGATAACAAAATAAATAGTATTTATGAGTTTCATAGTAAAGAGGAGTACTGAATCACAAAATTACAAATTTTGTGACGTACTCATAGTAGTATGATATTCGATTAATATATTTGACATGAGAAAATATAAAACTCTGAAAACAACAATGTCTTGATTGTATATTAGCATCAATACAACTGAAATCTTACGTTTCTTATGAGGATATGCAGTAAAAACTATTATACAGATTGTAATAAGAATAAGAGCAGTTCCTTCTAATGTGAAAAGTATTTTTACCACAGATTGACACTAACTGGTTTCACCAGTTTCAACCATAAAATGAATGAATCAAAACTCAAAGGTAATGAGCTCACTGAAAGACTTGGAGGTCTCGAATAAGACGCTTGGTAGGGTAGAAGAGACATTCCAAAACTAAATAAAAAAGAAATCCAATGAGCCTTGGATTTCGAAGATTCCGAAACTGAGAAAAAACCACCTTCACACTAAATAAATCTACATAAACCACTCAATGGGACAATATCTTACTTTAATTTAATGCGAACCCTCGACAATTTAAAACTTCCCTATCGCCCCAGTATCCTGTTCTTCTCTTCAAATTCAATTTCACTTTTTTAAGCTATGCTACTTAGAAGTGTGGTAAGTTGAATCCATGAATAAGTAATATTTTAGCAAGAATGAATATTAAAAAGATCATTTATAGCTAACTAAAACTAGGTTCACAAAATAGGTCATATAGGATAAACATTGAGAAATATTCTTTCAATAACATTCAAGTCTCAATTCTAGGTAACTTGTGTTATGAACTCTCTTATTACGACCCAGCTACCCGGGTTGCTTAGTGATCTTGAACACAACTTCAATCGATAAGTCACCAAATCGGAAGACGGTTGAGCAGGAACGTAATTGTATTCCAAATAAACAAGGGTGAATAGAAGTAAGAATCAAAAAAAGAAAAATGATAGTACATATATAATTTCTTCACAACATTCTACAGTCTTCTCCAAGTATATACTGGCACTGATTGTTTTTTTCTCAACTAATTAGCATGCCACAACACACCCCTGTAAGGAACACGCTTTAATTCAATCTATATTCTACTAACGTGTTCAATAAAGAGAGAAAGTAAACAATATTGATTATACTGAACTAATTTGAATAAATCACTTCATCCCATGGAAAATTCTATCCCAGAAATTACTACCACGGTTTTAGAAGCACTTGAAATTAGAGTTATTTGCAAACCAGCACAATCCCAGCAGTCTATTTTATACAAAAAAATGATGGAACAATGAGGGGAAGCAGGCTCGACAAGATAAATTGTATCAAGTACGAAAACTATTAGACCGGACACCTATTCATAAAGATTAGCAGATAGACAACAATATGTTGTTACTTAAATCGATGGACATAGAAAACCACAAAAAATTAAAGAATACTGGAAACTTTTGGAAACCTCAAGTCAATCCGCAGTCAATGGAGATATTGACACAAGTTTAATCTGTTAACTGGTAACCATAACGTTAATCAATTACATGGTAAGAGGACAGCCTACCACAACAGTCATCGAGGATCAATCGATTAACAACAGGATTATCAGGAGGAACTAACTGCACGTTTAAAGAATGATTCTATAATTCTTAATTAAATAGAAGTTAAGTACTAATCATGCTATCCCATTTGAACCATCCAAACCAAGGATTCAACACTATATACATTCATCTATGCTAAAAACTCTCTCGATTGTTTCCAACGCTTTCGCTGTCAACTTCTTGTTTAATATCAGACATTCACACTGCACACAAGCACACACGTAGTTAGACTTTTCATACTACTGTTTCCATTCAAAACATCATCACAACTATCAGTGCAACTTTACAGAAAGTTTTAAACTCCAGAAATTACGATCAACATAAGACATGCTAAATGCATTAAATCCTATAAAAATAAAGCGCAGTACACCGATTGTGCATTCTGAGATTTTTCCCAGAAAAATTTTCATGACCAGTCATTTACAAGAGACCAGAGGACTTACACAATTGGGTAGAGAAGAACACAAATGTTTCAAATAAGTCATTGTCATATTTGGATATGAAGAAATAAGGCTTTTAATAATATGATTAGGTGATAGAATTTGGGATGGTGCAAGGCTACTTTCCAAGGACGTTTCGGTTGTACTGCCTTCAATAACAGACAATTCACATGATGAATTAACATAACTTGAGGGAATAGGAAAACGTAGCATGAGCTGTTCAGCTATAATCTCATGATTAGTTGTTAAAGCTTGCATAAAATGATTCCAAACTAATTCAGAATAAACAGAGAACTCATAATTTACATCATTTGACGAATGAATAGCCGCTCCCTTATAAAGTGATTGTTTCTGAGAGTCAGTTGAATTATGCGCGGATAGGCTAAAATGTAAAACATGATTAAGTAGGTAAAAGCATCATTATTAACCTTCATTCATATAGAAGTAAACAAAATAAATGCTGTATAAAATATACCATGAATTCTGAATCGTAGTGCTACTATAAAAACCATGAGTCTACAAAGACCTTTGTTAGATTTCAAATATTTTAGTCGATTCAATTTCTTTACAACCGGTAAACATCCATTTAATGTTTTATTAAAAACACATTTGATGGATAAGTTTGATTGAATTCATATCAAGAACAAACAACATCTTACATTCGACTAGCTCCTGATATCTCATGTCATTATCCAACATATAATAACATGTTTCAAAGTATGAGTGATTACATTTATATGGTTCATTAAAATACGTAAAATACAGTACAATGCAAATAATGAATAAAATAAGAAATATAAACTTTTTAAACTTACTCCAATAGTATAGAAATATAAAATTCTACTCCTGGAAAACTTGAATCATTTAGTTCATTGTAAACTAGTCTAAAAATAAATTACATAAATCGAGGAATTTAGCCAACATATCTTGAAGTGTATTTTACTGATTCATATTAATGTATGTATTCGAAAAAAAAACTATAAAAAAAATATAGAAATTTCTTTAAATGTACGAGTAAATTCATTCCACTTTTGAGTAGAACTAAGAGACAATCAACATGAATAAGAAAAACAAAATGTTATGATAAACAAAACAGACAAAAATTCAATAGTCGCCACAGTTAAATCAGTTGTTTATTCAGAAACTTTATAAATTCCTTTATTTGTATTTTAGTTGTCATATCCGAAGGACTTAAGAAATGGTAACTTCTACGGCTAATTTATGAGCTATTATTATATATAAATATATACTTATCATATATATAAACGCCGACTGTCTACTGATTAAGTATAATTTAGGTAACCTATATACCAATTCACAGTATTACGATATTATCTGCAAAGACAGTAAATAAACAAAAAAAGATCTGCGGTAAAACGAAAGCCAATTTTTAATAAAACCTAATTAATTTTGTTATGTGGGAAGCTGGAACGCTGTAAATCACAGCATCATATGTATAGAAAGATCTAACTGGTAGACATATACAAGTAAATACAGGTTAATCAAGAATAAATGAGATGTTAAAACTACCCCTACTTACTTTCGCCATATTTCCAATGCACCTGAAAGGTTACCTTGCCAACGATAAATAAGCGCCAAAGCATGGTAAGCATTATTATTTTCTAAGTAGACAGTTAAATCTTCCACGTCAATGTGTATCAAGCTTGAAATCAGATCAACTAAACCTTGATTATTATTGTTAGTTGACTTAGTGAGACCACCTTCACCTGACTGAGAATCACTAGAAGACGTATCAATGATTAATTCATAGGGATATGGTTGAATACCAGCCTGTTGTAATCGAACGTACAGTTTAACTAAAGCAGTTTCTACAAACTGAAAGAGCAAAATGAACTTACTGTAAAGTTTAAAATAAGGTAACTCAGAACATGATAAAGATAACAGTTAAAAACTTTAAACGTTCGGTTTACCGGTAAATATCTTCAATGATCAATAATCGCACACATTTCAAAGTACTACAACATGTTGCACAACTACTCTATAAGAAATATTGGTTACTCCAAGACGAATACTGCAGAGAAAATATATTTAGTAAACAGAAATCAAAGTTTCACCATTGGATCATCCAGCTCAGAGAACACAACACCTAAATTGGGTAACGGTTTCTGTTAGCGGTTCACACCAGTTTATAGATGTCGTGTGAATAAAAAAAAGTAGACTGATTACCAAGAAGTGTTGATGTAAAGTCTTAGATAAATATTCAGTTTTACGAAGTAAAATGTTTCCTCAATAAACTGGATTATAAGTAACGAATAGTAGCAGTAGTTTTTGAAAATTCCCTTGTATAATGTACTTTAAATTTATGCAACTTTTCCCAGTAGTTAATTTCTTTAAACTTATGAAAATTACCAATGATTAGAGGTGGAATGACCAGTTAGTAACCAATTCCACATTCTCCCACGATTGCACTACGATTTGTAGACTAAACTTACTGGGTGATGACTAAAGCCATCGACTGAAGAAGCCAAACTAATCGGTTTACAATTCAATATCTATTTGTGAACTTATTAGTTCACAATTCAATAGTATTCATAATTAATTATGTGAAAATGTATTTAACAAGCGAGGAAATGACAGTAATGATATATTTAACCATACTCACATGTAAATGCTTCTCAACAAATTTACTTTTATGATGTTTACGTAAAAAGTTGAAAAGGAATTCTTCATATTTTAATAACCATGATGAACTAATTGTTAGATCATGATCATCATTATCTGAATCTTCTGCAGCTCTTAAAATGCACAAATCACTAGTCAAATTAATTCCAGACGTTTGAGCATTATCGTCATTATCATGATTAGCTTCGGGATTAGTCTGATGTAGTTTGTAAAACCAATTTGGCATAAAATAACAACCTTTTGGCAAGAGATCAGAATACCGAAACAGAATCTGATTACAGAAAAGAAGGAATAAACAAACGTTTTCTAAATTTTCACATCCTAAGCAGTAAATAAATTGTAATACATAAATAGAAGCAAGTTGCGTTCATACTTATGTACAACCATACATAAACCTATGTTTATAAGTCTTGATTGATGTCATAATTCAACAAAATATCGGTAAAACATCGTATGTGATGTGTACTGATAAACTGAAATAATCCACTCAATTTCAAAAAAGTGCAGTAAGATGATATCTGAATTGTAATAATAATACTAAGAATTAGTGTTATTGAACAACCGAATACAAAGGTGGATATGTCGGCTGTGACATTAAACTTACTTACGCCTGTTACTCCCAATGGAGCATAGGCCACCGACCAGCATTCTCCAACCTACTCTATCCTGGGCCTTCCCTTCTAGTTCCATCCAATTCTCGTTCATTTTTCGCATGTCTATTTCCATTTCTCGGCGTAATGTGTTCTTTGGTCTTCCTCTCCTCCTCCTTTGGCCTTGAGGATTCCATGTGAGGGCTTGTCTTGTGACGCAGTTGGGTGCTATCCTCAATGTGTGTCCTATCCACTTCCAGCGCTTTTTCCTGATTTCTTCCTCCGCTGGGATCTGGTTTGTTCTCTCCCACAGTAGGTTGTTGCTAATAGTTTCCGGCCAACAGATCCGAAGTACTTTGCGTAGACAACTGTTAATAAACACCTGTATTTTCTGGATGATGGCTTTCGTAGTTCTCCAGGTTTCTGCCCCATGCAGTAGAACTGTCTTGACATTTGTATTGAAAATCCTGACCTTGGTGTTGGTTGACAGTTGTTTTGAGTTCCAGATGTTCCTCAGTTGTAAATATGCTGCTCTTGCTTTGTCGATCCGCGCCTTCACATCTGCATCAGATCCACCCTGTTCATCAATGATGCTGCCCAGATATGTAAAGGTTTTTACATCTTCCAAATCTCCTCCGTCAACTGTGATTGGATTGGTGCATGCTGTGTTGTATCGGAGAATCCTGCTTTTCCCTTTGTGTATATTGAGACCTACTGCTGCTGAGGCTGCTGCCACACTGTTCGTCTTCACCTGCATTTGTTGTTGCGTTTGCGATAGAAGGGCCAGATCATCTGAGAAGTCTAGATCGTCCAGCTGCATCCTAGATGTCCATTGTATCCCGTGCTTTCAGATGTTGACGTCTTCATGATCCAGTCGATCACCAGGAGAAAGAGAAAGGGTGAGAGTAAGCAACCTTGCCTAACACCGGTCTTTACTTCGAACAAGCTTGTCAACTGTCCTCCGTGCACGACTTTGCAGTTTAATCCATCATAGGAATTCCGTATGATATTGACTATCTTCCGAGGCTGGGCGTAGTGTCGAAGAAGTTTCCATAGTGTTGTTCTTTCCACACTATCAAATGCTTTTTCTTAGTCAATGAAGTTGATGTAGAGTGATGAATTCCATTCAATTGATTGTTCTACAATGATCCGTAGAGTTGCGATTTGGTCTGTACACGATCTATCCTTATGGAATCCTGCCTGTTGGTCACGAAGTTGGGAGTCTACGGAGTCCTTCATCCTGTTTAACAATACCCTGTTGAAGACTTTTCCCGGTATTGAGAGAAGAGTGATGCTCCTGTAGTTATCACATTCGCTGATTAAACTCAAAACAACTTTTTGCTTCTAGTGCTAAATAATATGTTGAAGGTAGGGATTCCACGAGTTTATGTTTGTTTGATGCTGAATTAATAGATAAACTCTCTAATCAAATAAGAAACAATGTAATGATATTTACCGTCTAACCAATAATAAGTTAATTCACTCACCTTTGAGCTATACTGTATTTGGGGGTGCTAGTGATACTACTCGTTTGTTTAAATCGAGGTAGATTGAGAAGGCTTTCATACTTCCATTTGTTAGTTAAAACTCAAGTGCCTTCACCACTGACCCACCGCTCAAAAAAGAATATATCTCATTACAGTTTACTGTAATAGACTAAATATTAAATTTGTAATAAAACGTAGTAAGTTTCATTCTAAATAACTGCATCATTTATTTGAAGAGTTTTTAACACGGACTGGTTTTAGCTTAAAAAGCATTAAGAAACCAACAGAAATGAAAGAGCTAATTCACATGAGTTTGCGACATTTATACCACTGAGTTGCAATCTAGTGGTAGTATATAGTTAGTCACAGCTTCAGTCTATCTAATTATGGAGTGACAATAACTGTCTTATTCCTGACATGATTAATTTAACAGATCACAGCTTAATAGGCTAATTATCAATATACCAAAATAAGAACCACTTCAAATATAATAATAACAATAAAGGGATTATATAAAGGGAAGTAACTCACTTCACGTATGTCTATAGTGCTCTGTTCAAAGTAGGAAGCTGCTTTATCTAGTTCGCCCTTTTCAAAATGATAAAATCCTAAAAGTCCAAGTACCCGTTGACGTCTCTGTAAAAGCAAAATATAGGAAATCGTTTTGTTATTAATTATCACAATACAAAAGATATGAAAGTGACAAGGAAAGTAATCGGCCCAAAAAACATAAATATTTCAATAACCTTAATTAACTTTAGAATATTAGATAAAAGTTCCACGACTTACTGAAACTACAGCCCTGTAGTGATTAACGAATTATAAGTTAATCTGCGAATATATCCTTACGACTTAACACGTAAATCCAACAGTACACCAAAAGTCAAAACACAAGATGTCAGTTGGAATCATTTGTTTGACAGACGCTATGCTGGAGAAAAACTATGAGTATAAACTGGGGTTAGTAACAAGTCAACTCAATTTCGTGACTCACCTTATATAGTTTAAACAGACAAAGAGTAATGTAAGCTAGTAGATGAACAACAAACGAAGTGTACATAATAGCATACGTGAATATAATTAACACGAATACAGATGACAGCGGTACATGCATAGAAAGCGGCAATTACCTATGAGAAATATAGATTTATAAGGTGTAAAAGTGACTTAATAGTTGCATATTGTCTAATCAACTAATATTTGTCTGACAACTAGAATGAATCTACTCAAGTGTTGTGAAAAGTCACACAGAAACTATCGAATCTATACAGAGCAAAAAAGGAAGAACAGCAAAGACAGTTGTAGTAATAAGCACCACATCAAAGGGTGATATAACAATGATTGTTTGAAATTTGTACGCATTATAGTGACTACTTGAAACAAAAGGCAATAACAAAATATTTTTCAGAAATAAAACAGCACATAATGATTAATATATTCAAGCAGCTTTGAAAATTGATGTGTCATTATGTTTCACTGAAACTAAACACTTTACTATGTGAAGTAAAATAGCTAAATTACTATGTTTTAAACAAGTGGGTTGTAGGTTTGAATTCCACTCCACCAATTTCGGTTTGTCTAGGTGATTAGTATTACTAACCATCACACAGTGTAGATTAAAGCCAAGTACTTGGTCAGACAGCAACATAATGGTTTAAACCCATGAATAAAAACAAAAAAAGTCGATTGGATACACACTTTCCTAAATCTTTGTTAAACCCAACGTTTAAATAATTCCTAATTTAGTTAAATGCACGCATAATTGTATAGTTTGATGATTCACCTTGTTTATGTGATGTAACAATTTATCTGGTAATCATGAACAATCATTAGAAAAAGGAATAAACAGATGTATAAACTATCACAATAAAATAAAACAGGAAATAAGCATGATGATTGACAAAAATCACTACAATTAGTGAATAGTTGAGAAAATGAATGTTATTAATAAAAGCCAAGTAGAAGTAAATAGACAAAATAAGTAGTAGAAAGAACACAGTATAAAAACAAATTATCCAGCTACTTATGAAATGATATCAGCTGCAAAACTATTGGTCATCATACTGAAGCCATATCACAGTTGTGAGCGTATTATAATACAAATGTCCTTGCATAATATTTCCCGGATATTTTTCTAAGATTTATGTTAGTTTCGACATTCTCATTAATCCTCTAAAGGATTGGGAAAGTAACCTTTAAGTTAAGACTAAAGCGGACTACTACTTAACAGATGTGTGGTGGAAAATAAGTCAATTAACTTATCAGATATTTGGGTTTTGTCCCCCAGTTGTAATCAATCAATGTTTATTATCGTGGTTTATGCATCGTGACATGGGATACACGCATATCTACGCTATTTGAGTTCATATCAGTGGCTACACGATGTGACTTACACGTATCATTGAAAGTTCTTCCCTTAACGTTACCACTAATCACTTACCATTATTTTATCCACGAATAACAGTTTCAAGACACCAATGATCTGATATCAGTAGTCATCTATCTAAAACGGTAATACTTCGCATAGAAAGTTGTTGAGATATTTAATCAATTACATTGTTTAAAGATTGATGATCAAATTTTCTGAATAGCAGACAAAAGTTCAACAGGTGTCATGCAAACGTCCACCGAAGATGTGGTCTAACACCTGCCACTTTTAACCATATGGTTAAAATAGGCATCGATGAAAACCGGTCCGATAGCATAACCATGAACTGAATAAATTTATATATTGTGAAGGACAGTAGCTTTAGTTACCACGTTAATAATAAGCATAGTTTAAGAGATTTAAAATTCGGAAACCATAATAAAACTGTATCAAAAAGAAACATTGTGAATTATCTAACATATTGGTAAATGACAACTCCGCCTGGAGTCCCTCCGGGGGTCACTACCGGTCCCAAGCCCGGATAAAGGAGGAGGGTTGGGCATGGGGTTACCGTCCCCATCCCGTAGAAAACTAACTCGCTAAAAAAACGATAACCAGAAAAAATTATTCAAACCATTTTAAACTCTGCCCTGGGAGTCAGAAGGTCTTCATTTAGAAGAATTATGACGCCTCATGGTGAAAGCCGAATTCCTTCGGAAGTTACGAGGCTGATGCCCCTTCGGACAACCAGAGCGACCATTTATTTAGGTACGTGGAATGTTCGTACAATGTGGGACACCGGGAGAGCCTTCCAAATTGCTGCAGAAATGAGAAGATACAACCTAGAGGTATTTGGGATCAGTGAAACACATTGGACGCAAGTTGGACAACAACGACTAGCTTCAGGGGAGCTTCTGTTATACTCCGGCCATAAAGAAGAAAACGCTCCACATACACAAGGAGTTGCATTGGTACTGTCCAAACAAACACAAAATGCACTTATAGGATGGGAATCTCATAGACTAAGGATCATCAAAGCCTCCTTCAAAACAAAGAAAGAGGGGATTTCAATGAACGTCATCCAATGCTATGCGCCTACCAACGACTACAATGAAGACAATAAAGATCAACTCTACAATAGGCTGCAACCAATCATCAAGAAGTGCCCAACAAAGGACCTGACCATTCTGATGGGAGATTTCAATGCCAAGGTTGGAACGGACAACACTGGATATGAAGACATCATGGGACGACACGGACTGGGAGAAAGAAACGAAAATGGTGAGAGATTTGCAAATCTATGTGCCTTCAATAAACTGGTCATAGGCAGCACCATATTCCCACATAAACGCATACACAAAACCACATGGACTTCACCGGATCACTCTACACAAAACCAAATCGACCATATTTGCATCAACAAAACGTTCAGGAGGACTATAGAGGACGTGAGAACCAAGAGAGGAGCTGATACAGCATCAGATCATCACTTGCTGGTCGCCAAGATGAAATTGAAACTCAAGAAGCACTGGACAATGGGGCGGACAATATCACAAAAGTTCAATACGGCCTTTCCTCAGGATACTAACAAACTCAACAAATTCAAGATAGTCCTCAGCAATAAGTTCCAGGCCATTCATGATCTACTCAATAGAGAAGGAACTACTGTGGAGAGCAATTGGAAGGGGATCAAAGAGGCAATCACGTCAACATGTCATGAGGTCCTGGGCCACAAGAAGCACCATCACAAGGAATGGATCACTGTTGATACACTGGATAAGATTCAAGAAAGGAGGAACAAGGCAGCAATCAATACCAGTCGAACAAGAGCAGAAAAAGCCAAGGCACAAGCTGAATACACAGAAGTAAACAAGCAAGTGAAGAGAAGCATCAGAACCGACAAACGTAAATATGTGGAAGATTTAGCAACGGCGGCGGAAAAGGCTGCAAGAAAAGGAAACATGAGAGAACTGTATGACACGACAAAGAAACTGTGTGGAAATCACCGTTAACCGGAGCGACCAGTGAAAAGCAAGGAAGGCGAGGTGATCACCAACATTGAAGAGCAGAAAAACAGGTGGGTAGAACACTTCAAAGAACTCGTGAATCGACCAGCTCCACAGAACCCACCCAACATCGAAGCAGCACCCACGGACCTCCCAATCAATGTTGGCCCACCAACAATTGAAGAAATCAGCATGGCCATCAGACAAATCAAGAGTGGCAAAGCAGCAGGACCGGACAACATCCCAGCAGAGGCACTAAAAGCAGACGTAGCGGCAACTGCAAGGATACTCCACATTCTCTTCAGCAAGATTTGGGATGAGGAACAAGTGCCAAAAGACTGGAAAGAAGGACATCTAATCAAAATACCGAAGAAAGGAGATATCAGCGAATGTGATAACTACAGGAGCATCACTCTTCTCTCAATACCGGGAAAAGTCTTCAACAGGGTATTGTTAAACAGGATGAAGGACTCCGTAGACTCCCAACTTCGTGACCAACAGGCAGGATTCCATAAGGATAGATCGTGTACAGACCAAATCGCAACTCTACGGATCATTGTAGAACAATCAATTGAATGGAATTCATCACTCTACATCAACTTCATTGACTAAGAAAAAGCATTTGATAGTGTGGAAAGAACAACACTATGGAAACTTCTTCGACACTACGCCCAGCCTCGGAAGATAGTCAATATCATACGGAATTCCTATGATGGATTAAACTGCAAAGTCGTGCACGGAGGACAGTTGACAAGCTTGTTCGAAGTAAAGACCGGTGTTAGGCAAGGTTGCTTACTCTCACCCTTTCTCTTTCTCCTGGTGATCGACTGGATCATGAAGACGTCAACATCTGAAAGCACGGGATACAATGGACATCTAGGATGCAGCTGGACGATCTAGACTTCTCAGATGATCTGGCCCTTCTATCGCAAACGCAACAACAAATGCAGGTGAAGACGAACAGTGTGGCAGCAGCCTCAGCAGCAGTAGGTCTCAATATACACAAAGGGAAAAGCAGGATTCTCCGATACAACACAGCATGCACCAATCCAATCACAGTTGACGGAGGAGATTTGGAAGATGTAAAAACCTTTACATATCTGGGCAGCATCATTGATGAACAGGGTGGATCTGATGCAGATGTGAAGGCGCGGATCGACAAAGCAAGAGCAGCATATTTACAACTGAGGAACATCTGGAACTCAAAACAACTGTCAACCAACACCAAGGTCAGGATTTTCAATACAAATGTCAAGACAGTTCTACTGCATGGGGCAGAAACCTGGAGAACTACGAAAGCCATCATCCAGAAAATACAGGTGTTTATTAACAGTTGTCTACGCTAAGTACTTTGGATCTGTTGGCCGGAAACTATTAGCAACAACCTACTGTGGGAGAGAACAAACCAGATCCCAGTGGAGGAAGAAATCAGGAAAAAGCGCTGGAAGTGGATAGGACACACATTGAGGATAGCACCCAACTGCGTCACAAGACAAGCCCTCACATGGAATCCTCAAGGCCAAAGGAGGAGGAGAGGAAGACCAAAGAACACATTACGCCGAGAAATGGAAATAGACATGCGAAAAATGAACGAGAATTGGATGGAACTAGAAGGGAAGGCCCAGGATAGAGTAGGTTGGAGAATGCTGGTCGGCGGCCTATGCTCCATTGGGAGTAACAGGCGTAAGTAAAGTAAAAGTTGATAAATGACAGCCTACAACAAAACTGGATCTAATTGTAAATTTACCTTATCGAATAATTGTTGTTCATGTTTGAATTTCTCAACTTGCAACTGCATGGCTTGAGTAAGACGATTTCGTTCTTGTTGTTGTACAAGGAAAGCTTGTTTAAGACAACCAGTTAAGATGAACCTCCGTGCAATCAAATCCCAACGTTCTGGTCCTAAGACTTGAATATTTCTGATGGATGTAGTGTCAGTATTACAGTCAGATGTTCCAGTAAAGTATAACAAATGAGCATCAGCAGAAAAACAAGCTACAGATGGCTTTTGAAGATTTATTGTTTGTATCTGGGATTGTGTCAAGATGCTAGAACAAAAGGAGAGTAGTAGGTATGTTAGTTTTAGAAGTATGAGATTAGGATGAGGAGGTTGTTAATACTATGATAATTGATAGTATAGTCTCATTTATATCTTCATCACCAATTCCTGGCGTAAGATGGACAGGACTACAGTCTGATATCATTTTAATGAAATTAATTAAAATTCTAAACATTCTTCAGTCAAATCTTAAATAATTCTATTTTCTATTGACGATATTTTTAATTGTGGTGACATTTCATAGATAGTCACTGGATGACTGGAAAGATGTATAGAAAGAATCCATAACATTTAACAGAAATACCAGTATTTCATTGTACATCAGCAGACGACCACCCATAAAGTTAATTTATCAGTAAATACTACCTGTCAGAATGATATAGCATCTCTAACTTTAGTGTAAATTTATTTCGAAAATTTGAATTCCCTTGTTTTCGCGCCAGAAGCGCTCTTTTCACCTTTATGTCGTATTTTCCATTTGGGAGGATCTTAAACGCTATTGGTTCGTTGTACCGTTCAGTATGTTATTTTGTAACGCTTCCCAATGACAGTTTTATTCCGTATATATACGTTTGATTTGTGCCCGTTTGTTATCGCTCGTGCTTCTGGTTGCTTGCGGAATATATTTCCCCGTTTCGAACTTGAACTTCTATCTCTAGTTAGCGGGGCTGGGACTCATCAGAATAGCTAGCTTACTGGTCTTTGGTCACATAGTCTTTGTTCCGTTCGCATACTAGGCGAACTCGTAATCGCTTCTAACATAGAAGGCATTCAGACAATGAACTCATTTTAAAATTATACAAACACAAGATATTTTTAGTTCACTGAAGATTTCTTAGAAAAAAGATAATCAATAATAATTTAACTCATTCACAAGGTACTTGGATATGATCCACAAAAAAGTGAGGGTTACGGATAATACATAGTTCCCAAAACTGAAGTAGATGAAGCGATGTACAAAATTGTGAATTGATGGCTGTAAATTGAATATCTTAACCACTAACAGTCACTACTGCAAATTATTTTTCGTCAGATATTTAACAAAATAGTTTTGTGTGTACGGTCCTTATCTGCATAAAAAAAGTCTTTTTTTACAGTAAACTTGTCGGGTTATATTTCACCCAAGTACAAATGGAATCTGATACTGTTTCTCCCATATGAGTTTATATATTGTTCTAATCCTGTAAGATCAAGCAAGCAATCATGAATGAGTTCCTCTAGTATCTGTATAACAGATTTATGGGATATAATTATTGTATCATCGGACACATCTCTTCGCAACGGTATGTTTTTAAGACATAGTAAATCCCTACCTCGATAGGAAAAGAGCTAAAATGTATGTTCCTCGTTTTCGAACGAATGATATTTCTTTGTTTACCAAACAGGATTAGACGGAGATTTAGGTTTGAAACTTGATTGTCAACCACCATCCCATCATTCTATTAAACATTGAAAAGTGATACAATCAAGCTACTTTTACATAATTTTTTACACCAGCAGTTTATAATTTCACTAAAACACCAAAGCATAACAGCTGTTTTTTATGATTCTTATGTTCAAAAACTAAATCTTATGAGCGCAAAAGTGTTAATCTTATAATGCTATTTATTCTGTATGATTTATATGGCCTTTTCCTTAATTGCATGGAACTTCAAATTTCAAACAACGCTTCTGAGAGCATAAGTGACTTATTTCAAAGAGATTTTTTAAAAGTTACTGATTATAACTATATAATAAAAAAAAAATTTATTCAATATGTTCAACCATCTCAATGGTATGTACGATGATTTTTTGAACTAGTATCCACTATTCAGCTTTTCTTATTTTACCGCTGGAATCTGATATAACTCAGAAAACTGAGATGCTAATAAGGAATGTATTATGCTGGACAACAGAAATCGATAAGAAATAGGATTGCTCCCAAGTAGTGAAATAATGCCTCGCTTGGTTGCAATGATATCATAGGACCAAAACTAAACTGACTTCAAAGGATTATTAATTAATATAATTACAACTTTTAGCATACATTTTTAACCAACATAGAAGTAAAATGAAAAATGGTTTGACGGTTTATGCAGATTGGTGAAACAACGGAATGACTTGTACAGTAGGCTTATTCAGAACATGTAATAACATGAATATGGAATATATAAACTTTTACATCATCGATTAGCAGTCTAATATGTTGATACAATTTTGTCACCTACAGAAATCCCGGCGGTTCTACTTAACAAGATGAACGGAATGGCAAGTCTAGCACACGAGTACACTTAAATTACAAAAATTAAGCCAACATATAGATGTTCCTTGCCCTTACAGTTATTCCGCTCATTTTTCCTGGTTCCGATAATTGAATATTTTGCTATTTACACGTATTTATTTTAAGATCACCGTATTGACTCCGCATGAATACACTCATACGAAACGTAAAACTTGATTTAAAACATTGTAGTAGGTCATAGTCAGAAACATGTTTTAGACTTATAAATAAATTACATGGATACGCGATAAAGAATTACAAAAACTCTTAAAAGTTACACATACTTGTGAATGGTAAAAAATTCGTCAGTAATAGTGAAGAAATAATTTCTCCACACAAAAACTTCTACTATATTTGGTGATAATTGAAGTGGTGCACGATGAGATACACCATTAGCATCGACAATAATACCCAATGATCCTGGACCAGAAACAATAAATTCATTCTGCAAGTATTGAATTTTTATAAGAATATATTAGTGTTCTAACAAACCTGAGTAAAATAGACTATGTAATTTCGTACTGGCTCTTTTACTGAACGCAATAACTCTGTAGTACTGTTTGTACGTAAATTTATTGATATGTAATTACTGTCCGATGCAACACATAAAAACTGTGGTGAGATGCACTAAAACAAAAGTCACTAAATCAAGCAAAAATAGTATGAATTTACAAGAGACTGTGAAACTTCTGTTAACCTGGTTTCAAAAACAAGCATACATGTTGATACAAAAATATGATGTAGTTGGATTAAACCCGATTTAAATCCTATGCACAGCTAAATTAGCGTAATAATTATACACATCATTAATTCGAATTTGAAAATGATTAAAATACCTTCTCTTTTTCATCATCGAAAGAGCACAAATGGAATGATGAAACGCCTTTGAAAGATGGAATAAAATTCATTATCTAGAAACAATAAAACAGGTTTTACAAAATCTATTTCCATACCTCAAGATTTTCCGCGTTACATAAGGTAAGATTTTCATCGCTGAAAATAGAAAGTGTTGTTTTTTTGGAAGAAGTTTCAAGCCTTGAAATAGGTTTAGTCTGATTAGGTTAACATATAAAAAAATCAGAGATTTACAAATATTCTCCTTGATAGAACATTACTGAAACAAAATGATGTTTTATTGTCATACAACTCTTGAATAATCAATTGAGATACTAAACTTTAGTCATGATAGAAAACAGCCATACTGAACAACATACCCCTTGCTTGTTCCAATAAATAGTAAGTCTGAAAATGAACACATGGCTGTTATCTATGAAAGGATACAAGGTAACATAGTTGTCACAAAAATACCTCCACTTCAGTTTCCATAGCAGTACATGAACTTGGATGTAATTGAAATAACGAATACTTTGTGTTCTCCGGTTCAATTTTATTGACGTAGTCATTCATCATCAGGTAGGATAATTGTTGAACGTAAAAATGTCAGTGTCTGAAAATGACAGAAAATAAACGTATTTGAAGCAACTACATGGACACATTCATACAGTGACAACATTCATATAAAAACACCTCACAATCAGACAAAAAGGACATTGTGAAACCCCATACTACCTGCCATACTGCCAATTTTAAAAAAAATATGATAGAAAATAGATAAAAATGAAAACGAAATTGGAGGAAGCTAATATTTAAAATATCACGAATTTCAACACTCGATGTTCACACTTACAATAGGTTCATATGAACCTCTCGAAATTCTATGCCCAATTACAGAACTTATCCAGCGGTATTTCATGCTCAGGAACAACGGCAAAACCTAAATATCACACGGAAAGCACTGTACATTTATTTTACAGCAAACAGCACTTGGATATCACCTACAAGAGTTTATCTTCACACAACTTTACAGAAGTGTAGCTGAATGATTTATCATGGTGGTTCCGTTTATACATACTTGCAAGCGTACCACCATAATAGATATACAGAGCATTTCAAGAAATGTCAGCCAGTCAGCTACAACGTAGGACCAGGCACATATATGCATCAGTCCAAGTTGCCATACCTCATTAACACAACAAGATGGATACCGGATTCATAAAAGTAGTTAATTCAGAGGTGGTAATATATAAAAGAAAGATTGCAATAAGGATATAGTACAGGAAGAAAGAATTAGTTCGTAGAAAGAAAGATATGAAGCGATTTCAATCTTTTAGTTTAAGAGAAGACAGAGAGTGTATACACCGACGCCATTGTGATCGATTCTGAGCCACATCACCAAAAGTCTCCAACCATTGGTTACGATAGTCACGCGTACCCCAACCAAGTAGTCTGCATCTACCAACATGGCTCAGACTAGAAGTTAGTGACTTCAAGCACTGATGCCACGTTTTGGTTTGGCCACCCCTAACTTTCTTCCAACCATCCTGAACACCGGTTAGCATTGCACGTCGTGGTAGTCGGTGTTCGGGCATACGTAACACGTGGCCCAACCATCTCAGTCGATGAAGATTCACAACCTTATCAACTGATTTACCATCATCTCCTAATACCCTGCGTCTAACCTCACTATTACTTACCCGGTGATCCCAGCAGACTCCAGCAATATTTCTGAGGCATCTGTGGTCAAATACTAGTAGCTTACGAGTGTCTTCTACTCTTAATGGGCATGTTTCGCTGCCGTAAATTAAAACAGAACGGACTGCCGCGCAGTGTACTCGTCCTTTTATTGATAGACGGATATCTCGCCTTCTCCATAGGTGACGTTGTTGCTACCTTGACGTGGTGGTCGGGCTTGCCTATCGTGATGAAGCAACCGAGCTATACTGGCTGGAACAACTGTTCCTCAAGGTCCTACCATGTCAGACAGGTCGGTTGAAGAGCGGTAAGACTAAAAGCAACAAACCCAAGGTCCGAAGGCGAAGTCGTACTGCTGACTGTACAGAGGTGTAACAGCAGTAAGGTGTTTCCTTCAGACAACCAGCATGACAGCGATGCTGCCTTCCCACAAGGAGGGGTGAGGTTAGAAAAGGTCGACCCTAAAAATGCACACCTCGCCTTACCTCACGGATATCCGTCTCCGACGGTGAGGTCTCAACAAGTACGGAGCTAACACAAAAATTGCCCATAAAAAGGTCGTGTGTGACCGACCTCAGGCAGTTGTCCCTTGGGCACTGCGGTCACGCTCTCAGGTCACTAAGACCACCTCTAATCCAATTTCCTTTTCAGGTACCTCCAGAACAACCCTTCCATGGTGTGGGCAACCGGGAAGTGATAATCTAAAAACAACATAGTTTCTTCGTAATCTTAGAAAAAAACAGGAGACGTTTAGACAGTTATGAGCCTCTCCCAGCACTACAAGTAAGGATCGACCAGTAGGATATAAAATGTTTAAACCAATGAAAGGTTAATGACGACGTGTTTTTAAAAGGCATAGCATTCGCGCGTGTACACATCTATACCAAAATAATAGTTTACTAATCATGAAACAAAACATTTTGGGCAATATCTCCAAAGTTTAGGGTTTTCTCTAATATGTCTCCAGAAGTTTCGGCAACTTTGGGGAAATCCATCTACGTTTAGTGATTAAACCTCAGTATTTTCTTCGCATTTAGGGGATATTCTGCACGATTTTCGGTTCTCCCCAATACCGTCGAAGTAAATGGAAGTGGTGGTTAGAACACCTACTTTTGAGGAACTACTTTATGAGCATGTACTCAGTAGATACTTACTTAGCTATTGGGGAAAAGTTCCCAGTCAAAATATTGGCAACTGGAAACTCAACTGTGACACATGCAGCCTTGAGAAAATGCACAGTATTGCATCATTGTATTGAGTTGTCATCACTTTGAAATCATTGCTTTCAGATGATTATCTGATAACTGAGGGATTGAAAGTATCATTCACTGAAGTACTCGGTTACAAAAGCACACTTGCACCTGAGGATGACACGCTGACATGTAGAACAGAGAAGTCAAAGAGGTGAATTGATGAGCTTACACAATCCATTCATTGTCAGAGTTGTCAAACGCAAAATGAAAAACTACTTGTGCACCTCTGAAGAACTAGAGGTTACTGAAATGGAAGCTGCGTATGTCGCAGTTGAGTTTCCAGTTGCCAACATTTTGACTGGGGACTTTTCCCCAATAGTTAAGTAGGTATCTATTGAGTACATGCTTATAAAGTAGTTCCTCGAAAACAGAAGTGTTCTCACCACCGCCTCCATCTACTTCAACGGCAGTTAGTAACCCGTAAGTTGGGGTAATTGCAAACATAATGAGAGTAAAATATTGAAAGTGATTCTGAAAGAAGTCAATGAACTATCTAGCAAGATGGACAAACTGACTGCTTACATCAAAAGCTCATACATGGATGTGAAGGACAGTTACAGCAATAGCCTAGACACTTCGAGTTGCTCGTTTCCATTGAAACCATCTGAGGAAATGCGTACTGTTAAAGCTGCTTTGGAGGAACAAAAGTTCCGTGACCCGTTCGTAAGTTGTGACAGCTGTTTATGAAATTTCAGGTGACCAGATTGTCCGCGATCGTGTGTGATCTTCGGAAGTCAATCAAAGCGTGTCTGTATTACGTGCTGACACCGGAACTGGTAATTACTTATACCTTACGTGGGACTAAGAATATATATTGGCGCTCTCTTGTACCAATATTTATGTGTTCAAATAAATAAATAAATAAATACTAAGAATAAAATAAATATAAATAACTACATATTCTACAGAACGATTTAAAGTACGTTCACATCACAGTTTTAATATATTTATAGATGTTCACGGTTTTGAAGTGCAACCTGTCCAGAGAAAGAAATAACACAAGTCAGGCTTTCTTGCACGACGCGAGAGATAAATTTAATAGGCGTGGATGGCGATCCAAAGAAAGGGTGAGCCAAATGTTCTTTTAATCTGTAATTAAGTATCTGTTTCTGATTGTATATTAGTTTCTAACACATGTTTATACTGAAGTAACTATTTGCTGTATATTTTATTTTCAGCTGGCTTCGCAAGTGCTCACAGACCTAGCTGTAAACTTTTAGTTCAGCAAACATTATTATTACCACTAGTACGTAATCAACCTTTCACATGGTATTATGGATTCATATCTTGGATGTTTGCTATGACATAGAGCAATCGTTTGTCTACTATTGGCAATTTGGCTGTTTTGATACTGCGTTTGTAATGCAAAAGAGTAACGTTCCTCTTATTTTTGTAGAGCACTGTGGACGACAGTTTAACATCAACCCGATGTACCAAACCGAGGCGCAATTGCAATTGTGTCAGGATTCGAAGACATTGGTTATGGACGTACAGTTTATTTGTACATTTTTAAAACCTCAATAAACAATTTTATTTATAACGCATAAGTCCTTCAACTACGGAAATGCTTATTTGCCGCGACAGACCAGTTCTTGTTGCCGTGGTTTAATTGCTCTGAAACTGCGTTTAATTTGCGAAGTTAACTGAAGAAAAGAATTGAGTAGGTGTGTATCAACTTGTGGGTACTTGTTAATAAGTTGGTAGACTTTCCTGAACAATAGGTAATCTAGGGGTTTTTTCTAATAAGGTATTGGGAAGAACCGAAAATCGTGCAAAATATCCCCTAAATGCGGAAAACTATTGGGGTGTGGTAACTAAACGTAGATGGATTTCCACAACGTTGCCGAAACTTCCGGAGATATACTGGCGAAAATCCGAAGTTGTGGAAATTCCCCAAAATGTAAAAATAAAATATGGGGTTTTAACGACGAATATGGATGCATTACTGCACGGTAATGGGTCTTCCCCAGACCTGGGGAAATTTTGGGTTTTGTGCCATCGTCTCAAACCATTCCTATTACGGCTTACCAAATATTTCCTCAAAAGGCACATGTTTCTCTCACAATATGGACATTATGTTGTCATTGGGCCAATAGTGACAGTTCCCTCGAAATTTCCGCAAATTAATTTGGAGGCTAAAATGTACAGGAACAGACTATTTTCGACCTAAATCAGACGAGAGAACTTAAATGACAAGAAACTATGTAGCAGGTCCATTTACTAACTTATCAGAGATACCAAGTATATGAGTGTTTCCCTATGACACTGAAATTCTCTCTGACATCCTGAAAATCGAAAGTCGCAATAGATGTACATTCTTTTTACCAGACCTGCAGCCTGTGAGGCAAGTATAGCACGACCAAAATCCACAAACAAAATTAAAAACTGACAACGATTACAACGTACTTAGTATCACAGTAATAGAGCAAGCCATAACGTAACGCTACATTCATAACATTGTTTCACTTTGAAAATAAGTCAAATGGATCTGGATGGAATAAAAGAAGCTTTAGGTTAACGGGCTTTCTTATCTGGTAGCAGTGGATCAACGATTCCTTCAGTCAGGAACCTAGGTATATTCAATGATAGAAAGCAAAATAAAAGTTATAAAGAGATACTATCTTTATTCCTAAAGAATATGTCAAGTCTTAAGTAATATATTTCTACCAGAGAAGATACTGGACTCCTAGAAAGTCGCCCGAAACTTTTTAGCCGGCAGAGAATTCTAGAATTTGGCTGCTTATAAAGAGTAAAAAGTATGCCTACAGTCCATCCTGATGCATTTTCTCTGATTTCTGGGTGTTACACCTAGGATTTGTGTTGTGACTAGGCTTAATTAGACATTTTTGAATAATTTCATGAACACTAGAGATTCTGTAAGTCATCAGAATGTCATCTCTGAACGCCCATACTCTA